AAAGCATATTCGTGCAATCTTTTATCCGGTTATATTTATTGCTCTTGATTTGTACACTGGAAAGGACCTTTACCTAAAAGTGGGCGGAGTCTAATTTTTACACTGGCTCGGATACTTTCATATCATTTCGGGGGTAAACATTGATGTCTATACCTTATTTAGTTATTCATTTATAGCGCTTTTAGTAGTTTTTAGCAGTACGTTGTATGGGGAGAGAGCGGGGGTTATCCTCCTAGAAGAATTATTCTAAGCGAGTTTGGCTAGTGCAGCTTTAGTGGTCTAGGGGATATGTACATTAAACCTGCTGATTTACAACAATCTGACTATAGTGATATGTATGCAATCGATTTTTCATGTATTCCATTGTTCGTTTTAAATTGTGTTTCAATTAAAAGTCATGTTAATATACATACATAGAAACCAAAACATGCAGATATTTGTTGCATATTAAAGAGAAACAATTTTATAATATTCAATAAATAAAACTCATAATTTATTTTAAGAAGAAAATATATTTGCTCGCAGTTTGATTTGTATGTATGCAAATATGGGCTTGTTTACTTGCTAATCGGTGGACATTTAAATACAACGGTTATATCCGTACCGCTAATGTGCTGCTGGTTAAAAATGCGGTTTGAAAGCGATATTAAGCCAACCCATAATGAGTTTTAATTTATTTGTAAACCTGCCTTTTTTAATAAATTCGGTGGACTGGAGTCACGTGACGACGCCTTAGCTGCACGATAATCGTGGGCGTTCCAGTGATATTCCAAAATATAATTGCTATTTAATTAGTCCTGGTTTATATGCTGCCATTTATTTTAATATGTTTAACTGTCGATTGGTTAAACAAAGCGATTATTTCATTAACCATAATTATTTGTTTTGTTGTTCATTAAAATGAGTAAAAGTACTTACACGTAATATATGTAGACATGTATCTTATTAAAAATTATGAACTACAATATAGTAAACCATTATGACACCGGCATCATAAGAATTCGGAAGCACAGTAGTAAAGCAATTTTGGAAATCTAATTACTGGGTGATCTCCTTATCATTATATTTCTGACCATTTTTTGTAGTGGGTTTTTATTGAGTCGAGTTGCACATAAACTAAAATACATAATAAGCAGATCTTTGAATTGATTGTGATTGGTTACTTTGAATGGCAGCTATATGCTTAAATGGTTCTATGTTAGCAATATGTTCGCAGATAATATAGGTTTACTTTGGGAAAGAAACGTTGTCTAGTTTCGTGAACATATGTATGTGTGTATGTATATTTTCAAATAAAAATTTTCAAATTAAATGGCTCGATCGATAATGAATCAATCAGTTTAATTAGCTGCTATATGCTTTGGAGGTTCGATATCTTCATTCAGATATCTTCTCAAATAAAAAATATTTCCTTCACAAAAACGTGATTCTGATTGTTCGGTATTTATAAAACGGTTTTTCACACGAACACTTTCCTTCGATCGATTAGTTTACATGGCAGCTATATGCAATAGTTGTCTGATATCAACGATTTCGACAAATATGGACAAGAAAAAAAGAACAAGTACAAATTTTCAGATCGATATCTCAAAAGCTGAGGGAATAATTCGGCAAAATATCGGACCGTCATAAATGGCTATTTAAATTAAATTTATATATATAGATATAATTTTAAAAGTTAAAACATTTCTCCCTTTAGCACATCCGTCTTAAGGGATCGTCTGAGCCTGAAATTTTAGAATATTGATTTTTTGGTTCCATTATTGAATAATATACTTATTTCAAATTTTTAAATCGAAATTCAAATTATTACGTCGACAATCTTAAACGCGTTTTCTCAGAATGGTATTTTTGAAAACGGGTTTCACTCTCAAAAGAAGAATTTTGTAGTATATAGCTCCAATTTGGAGAGAACATTTTTAACGTCGTTATTTATCGCGCTATGGGAGAATTTTGTTTTTTGAACGCGTCAGCGACTTTCCTACAGATTAATAATCTTCTTGAAATTTTTGTTTTAGTTCAGGACCTTTTTTTACGTGTCATTTCAAGAATTTATTTAACTAATATCCACCCAATAAATAAGAAAAACGATTTTATATTCGTCATGAATGCATTTATTTATAATATATATTACTATATTAATTTCAACATTAAAAACAAAAATCGCGAAAGCCAATGATTTTTCGGAGAGTCACACTGAGACGATCCCTTAAACGAATATTCTAGTCAACTATTTTTTCTCATATTTCGAATTCGAAAAATGTATCATAAAAGCATTTCGTGTGTTAATAAAACATTGTTTTTTGGGGAGAATCAACCGATGGAAAGAGGTTGATCACCGATTATAATGAAGATAGTGGATGCCCTAAAGAGGCGAAAGCTCTGTGCAAAGTGGGTGCCTCGCAAGTGCACAGTCTAACAAAAACAACGAATTTTTGATTCTGAGGAGTGCATCTCTTTAATCGTAATAAAACCGAATTTTTGCATGGGTGTGTGCCAATAGAAATACGGCTCCATCATTTTACACTGGAGTTCAATCGACAGACATTACAGTGGACTGCATGATGAACCGGTATTCAAGCGTAGAAAGACGAAAACGTTGGCTGGTAAGGTTATATCTTTTGATTCATCTACTGATTACTGAGTCAGTTATAATCCATTGCATTCTATTGCATCTATTCTACTATTCCAAATATTTAGCAATTTTATTATTTTTGAGGAAAGATCAGTTTGAAATACTACGCATATACTTCATCGTTTAAATAAATCCTAAATCTAGAAAGCTCCGATAATAATCTAGAAGCGTCCGATCGCTGCTAAATTCAAAGTGCTATAGGCAGAACCGCGGCCTCTGACGCGTAATTTATAGGCACGCTCCCACCGTCCCAACCGTCCTGTACCGCGCAAGCGCTACGTCCCGCAATTTTTAAATCTCTAATGTTTTCGAAATATTCATTTAAATCAAATGCTGATCAGATGTTTTTAATTGGATAACTAATGCTGTAAATGCGGTTAAAATCGCTTAGACATTATTTGTCCTAAAAAGTAAATGACAAAAAAATGTTATTGTCAGATATTCATAAGAGATAGACATATACCATCGCGAAGTTTTCTATAGACCTTTTCATTATGTACAACAATTAGTACATGAATTTAATTAATCTCGTAGAGTTCAGTGCCGTTTGCAACGTAAGGGGAAAAAATTAAATTATTATATTTACGGCATCACAATAGAAAACTCAAATATATCAGTATCTTCACTATTTAATGGATGCTATACATATAAACCTTCCTCTTCAATCACTCTATCTATTAAAAAACCGCTTCAAAACCTGTAGCGTAGTTTTAAAGATTTAAGCATACAAAAGGGCATAGGAACAGAAAAATCGACTCTTTTATACTATGTATTGATTTAAAACAAAAATTTTGGAATTACAACCTCTCAACCGATTATCATGAAGTTTTTTTCTGCCTGCTTTGTATATAATTCTACATGCGGTTTTTATATGATCAAAAAACAAATATTTGCAAGCCAAAAACTCCAAAATTTGGGGAACATTTTTTATAGATTTCGTCCAAAGAGAAGGCCGTAATCACTGACTCAGTTTCGTTTTTTATTGTTCAAAAAATATATAATTTCTTTTTTCTAAAAATTGCCGTTTTTTCGGTTATCATACTCATAAAATTAAATTTAAAAAATTAATTTTTTTTTCAATCGTCAAAAAATTCCCGAAATTCACTCTTCTAGACAAAGAATGATCACCGAGGCATTTCAAAAAAAGCTAAAGAAGTTCGGCTAAACAATCTGTATTTTTTTTGAATTTTTAAGGATTGGATTGATATTTATTCAGCTACGTGTAAAAGTATTCTGTTTCTCCATAATAATCACAGAGCAGATTGTCATATTTTTCTATTCATATGATTTTAAATTGTTTCATACGTTTTTAAAGTGAAAATTTCAGTGAATAATAATATTTTACCACACAGAGAAACAATATTAGGCCTATTTTATTAAACATTTCCTAAAAGCACAATAGTTTTTAATTAAACTGCTGTTGAACCGAAAAAAAATCAAAAATTAAACAAGTAGCAGAAGTGCTAAGGGGATGCAACCGAACATTTTAAGCTCTTGCAACTTACAATAATCAAAGCCAGGGAAATACTTTAAGGTGTAAAATCAATCATATAGAGTAAAATCAGTCGGATGTTCGAAAATCCTGATATGATTTATATATATAAATTGATATTTTTTAGACACAAATATATCGTCACCTAAAATGCAAAATAACGTAACAACATTTTCTGAAATTCACAGGGGGGAAGAATGAAAAACGTTATAAAATGGTACGTGAGTGAAACAAAACTCAAATATTGGTTAAAACTGGGTTATATAAAGGTCATGGTCCAAGCGTGGGCGTGAGCTTCAACAAATGGACGCAAAGCCAGAATAGACGCCTGGAAAGGTTTTGTGGGATTGGAAAGTAATTATCCATTATGAGCGGCTCCAGCCTGGTCGAACGATTAGTTCTGCATTTTACTGTCAACAACTAATGAGATTGAAGCAAGCAATCAAAAAAAAACGGCCAGAACTGATCAACAGAAAGGRYTTCGTCTTCCATCAGGAAAACGCTAGACCCCACACATCTTTGTTGGCTCGGCAAAAATTGGGAGAGCTCGGCTGGAAAGTTTTGCTGCATAACTCCCTTAATAGAGAACTTTACTCCAAGAGAAGTCTGTGAAAATTACTTGTCGCAGTTTTTTGTTGAGAAAAAAAAAGTTTTACACTGATGGAATAATGTCTTCAGCGGAAAAATGGCAAAAACTGGTCGACCGACTGGTTGGTTCATTAAAGCGCATTATAAATATTAAAAAATTAAGTTGAAATTTGATTAGAAATACAAAAAAAAATTTGTCCTTATTAAACATTTATTAAAATTAAAAAAAGTAAACATTGTCAATTTTGAAATTCCCAAATCAACTAAAAACTCTTGAGCACGTACCTGAGAATAAACCGCGACAGTTTTCAAGAATTTTTTGAAAATTTTATTGTGCACACTTAAAATATATTAAAAGTTCAGTTTTGAATTCTTTACAGTTTTGACTTTACGCAAATTATTTACCTTTTTAATTTGCACATACACAAAACTACAGTAATTTGATTAAATTTGTCTTTTTATCGCACTTTAAAGCAAAAATCAAATTCAAAAATTTCGAAACTCAGAACCGTTTGACTGACTTTTTAACAATGTTGCTTTTTCTTTTGCCACATTTGATTTTATTTAAAATTTTGTGTCCGCCCTCTTTTCTGACAGCACTAATGTGAACACGCTGACGAGTATGCAACAACTGAATGCCAGATCAAACGGAACAGGATGTTAAATATCTGCGGCGAATAAGGCAAATCAGCGAGCCACACAGAACGCCAACGACAGCGATGGCAGCCGCGGTAGCCGAGGTGGCACCGAAGACGCGTCGAATGCACTGAATGCGTTGACTGTGCGACTGGTGAGTGGTGAGTGGTGGCCTGTTGTTGTGTTTGTGTATGCGCGCGTTCGCCGCTAGACGGTCGCGTTGGCGCGCACAAACGCGAATGGACACCGATGAATCGGCGTTGAAAGAGACAACGACGGATGTACAAATGGTGACACGATAGATATAGGCGATGTGGATATATATATATACGAATGGAAAACGTACAGAAGCTACAACAACACCATATTTAATATACTGTGCCATTGTAATGAGTTCTTTAACTGTGTTGCGGCGGTTTTATGGTGCCACTTGTTGGTAGTGTTGTTGTAGCATCAACAATTGGCTTTATGTATCATAAAACCTTGCTTAAACAAGCCATTAACGCCCAAAACCATGCAACATTGTTAGCAACCCTCGCATGTTTCTGTGCGTACGTGTATGTGTGGCTATTGGTACCTGTTGAATAGGAAAATTACATACATGTACTATAGTCTCTACTTGCATATAAAAAGGAAAAGTTACAACGAATTGCTAGTTGCCGATAGAGTCTGAGTTACTACATATTTCAAATTGTTAAATGACAATGTTTAGTTGTTGCTCTGTGCTTTTGAAACTATGAATGAATTTCCACGAGCATGCGCGGTAGCGTTCAATGCCTACATATTGTGAGACATTCAGATTTAAAATACGAAAATAATGTTAATAGTAAATAAGTAAGGAATATTGTTTTGGGTTTCAATAGTGGAGAAGGCCGGAATCCCACAGGAATGGAGGGAAATCGCGTTAAAGATTTAATTTTTTCTGGCAAAACGTTCCTCCTATAGTCTGGAATTATTATTTATTATAATATATGTAGGTATATAAGGGGAACCTTAGTGTTGCAATCTGATAACTCACAACTTTATAGTAAAGTTTGATCTTTTGTGCTCCTTACAGTAACTTAAATATTCATCTTGGCCAAAAAAATGGAATGAAATCGCAAGCATTTTAGGTCAACTTCACATGCGCTTAGGAGAGGTGTGTGCACGGTTTGTTCCGCACAAATTGACTGTCGACCAAAAATTGCTCAGAATCTAACATTCGAAGAACATAATTTAAGAGGTCAAAAAGGCCAAAACTTCTTTTACAATAATCTGACTGGTGGTGTTTCTAAAATGATCTCTAAATGAAACGCCAGAGTGCTGAATGGAAGGCACCGGCCGAGCCAAAACCCAAAAAATCGCACATGGTGAAGTCGAAAGTGAAGACAATGCTGTTTTGTTTTCATGATTCCAAAGGTATTGTCCACAAAAAATTTGTTCCACCCGGCCAAAACGTTAATGCGGTATTCTACCTTGGAGTTTTGAAGCGTTTGGTGCGCCGTATTCGACTTGTTCGGTCCGAATATCGCGAAGATTAAAGTTGGCGTTTGTTGAACGATAAAGCGTCGTCTCATCAATCGACGCTTGTAACCAATTATTTGACCAAAAATCATATTTTAATCACTCCCCGTATTCACCTGATATGGCACCGTGCGACTTCTTCCTTTTCGGAAAAATGCATTTGCCCATGGAAGGAAAGCGTTATGCAGACGTAGAGGTCACTCAAAAGGCTTGCACCCGCATACTGGCGCCATAACAGGCAACGAGCTAAAACACTCGTTCGAAATGATTTTGGACGTGCAAAAAGCTGTATTGAAGCAGAAGGATTCTATTTTGAATAAAATAAATTGATTTTGAAGAAAAACCCATTTGTTCACTTTGTAGATCACTCCAAGGCAAATTTCTTATGAACATTTGACAGCAAAAAATTTGATTACCGTTTAATGCCAAACTATTTGTCGGTCGCTCAAAACGGGTTCATGTCGATGGGTTGAGAGAAATGTTAAAAAATACGATAGCAGTTCTCCGAAACACGAATATGACAGCATGACAGGGTTTCACACGTACTCGTATGAGCCCAAAAGTAAACAGTAAGGGTGTTTCCAGATGAGCCGAATCGAACATATGTAAATTGTTCACGAAAACTAGATTTGCGAAAACCATACCACTGGATCAACGTACAACAGTAAATTCTGAGTATGTGCTTAAATTTTATAACAATTGATATAGCAGTTTTTTAATTTTAATAAGGAAAATCAAATGTTTTTTATCAACATTCAAATTTATTATTAATTATACTTACTTGCTACTGAAGACAATAACAATTTTTAGAGTAAATGCTGTATTTGCTTCAAAAGAGTCCTTTTCATTGTTGCTTAATTTTTTTTCAGCAAATATTTCCTTGGCGTCTGAAAAGATGGAAATTGTCATTGACGGCCAGATTCGAGAATGTGAGGTATTTCAGACATCTTGGACTCTCTCGAATTTCATTAATGGTCCAAAGCAATCCTTTACTATATTTACAGTGTCAACTCTCGCGATTAACTTTATTTTAAGGTCATCCAAAATCCATTGGTGAAGTGTTCTAAGTTTTAATCTGTAACAGCTCTTTTGGACGGCCACTGAGTTTATCGCCTCAAATTATCGCTTACAAATTTACTATACTTCTATATGTCAAGAAAGGTTATATAGGTTAACTCCAATGCCGTATTTGAAGCTAATACATCGCAGAAAATTTTAATTAATATCAATTGAAAAACATTAAAAGGTATACGTGTATATACTTATATTAAAAAAATAATAATTAAAAAGGTTAGTATCCTCAATATAAAAATATTGGTCAATGTATGAGATATATAATTAAAATTCAGAGAGAATCCTTTACTAGCAATAATATCTCTGTGTATCAAAAATGGGTTGAATCGGGTCAATACTTCCCGTAGTAAATATAATATAAAGATTTTCGAACTTCCGGGTGATTTTGTATCGCATATATCGGCCGATATGAGAGTTATCCCAGTGTAAATAAGAGAGCGTGTGTATCTTTATGCCTAAAATAGATACAATTGGGTGTATACTTGACCTAACTCCATATACCTGTTACCAGGACTTTCGAACATCCGGCTGACTTTGTCCCATATAATAGTACATATAATGATTTTCATTCTTCTTATAATAATATGTCGATATATGGGATATATGTATATAAAAGTGTTTGGATTCTGATCTTCTGGTTGACATTTTACACCTTAAGTGATTTGATTGTTGCAAGTTGCAAGAGTATAAAATGTTCGGTTGTACCCGAACTTAACCCTCCCTACCCGTTATAAATATAATTTAGTCTACTCAAAATAAAAATAGTAATAGTTAAGGCCCACTAACACTCTCAAAAGTGCTTCTACCAACTGAGTAAGTGCCCACAACATTAGCTGAAATAATACGGAAATCCAACAACAACAAAATAAAAATAACGCTGACAACTTTTTAAAGCTGAACGACCAGCCATCTAACTCTTCACTCATTTACATTAACATTTGCGTCACTACATAAATATGTTATATAATATATGCATATACGAATGTGTACATATGTTTGAGTGAGTACGTATGTGTCCGTGTTTTAATATAGAATTTACATATGTGGACTGTAGGCTCGCAGACTTGCCAGATTGTTGGCTGCATAGCGTTTAGTTAAGCGTTGGCCAATGCAACAACACAAAGTTGCTTTCTACAAGCATCTAAAGCTGGGACTCAAGCACGCTGGCTGCCAGCAAGGCCAACACTCCACTCATAGATATAGAATAATGAATATTTCATGCGATTTCTACGAGTACGAAACCGTTTGATTGCCTTGTGTTAGTAAGCTATATCCAAACGCGCTTACTTACACACACATGCGAAATGAAAAATACAAAAAAAATTAATTTTTACTACATCCCTTTTACTTTTTGTTCTTTTCTCTTCAGATCAAAGTTGGAAAAGTTCACATTTCATTGGTTGCACGACGTCCTTCAACTCGCAAGGAAGTAACGGTGTTTCTCTGAATTGCATGCGTATTGTGTGTGGGTATGCACCTGCGCGGAAATTTTCGATTTTGCCTACAAACTTTGCTATCGTTTAGTACAAATGTTTAAATACGTGCACTTTTAAATTACTTTGTGTGAAGCTTTTTATAGCGTGGGACTCGTAGGAGGATAAAAATAGGAGGATTATACTCATATACATATATTCACAATTCGATTGTTTAAACTATTTAAATAAGGTCCACATAAATACATATTAGTTCCCTTATTCTATAGTTAGAAATATCAATTCGGAAAAAAGCTTTCTACAACCAAATATCGATTTTTATCGATAACGAAAATTGTACTTGTGAAGTATTCGTTACTCACCAAAGGAAGTAAATAGAAAACGTAATTTAAAGATTTGTTTAAAAATATTAAAGTTTTCTCGATTTTTTTTCAACGCCGAAAAATACGATTTCTGACATTACATGAGTTATACAAGTAATCGCCAAAATTAAACTCTGAAGATATTGTTAAAGTATCTCGATTGGTAATAAAATTTAAAAAAGAAGAAAGAAAGCACAAGACTGACAATATTGATAAAATGATATCGATAATTTAAAAAATTTATTTCTTTCAGCAAAGGAAGAAAATTTGAAAATAACATTTCGTGTTGGTTTAAAAGTCAAAACATTGATAACTAAAAGGTCAAACGCAGAAATTTCTTTTTTGAGAATAAAGAGAAAGTTTTAGAAAGAACATCAAAATCTTAGACATATAAGCTGCTTTTGACAATACGTCTCATGAAAGTGTAACAAAAGCACTTCAGTATTTAAATGTGGTAAAACCAGTACGCAGATTGTTAGAAGCCGTACTGCGCACTAGAATAGCTGAGATCATTATAGGAGATAATAAGATTCATCTCGAAATGGCAACAGGTTGCCCGCAGGGTGGAGTATTTCCTTCTAATTATGTAGCACTGTCGTGGGTAACAAACCAATAATGGTATCCGCTGTCATGGGGATCAGGTCGGGCAAAGGAATGGTGGAGTACGTTTGGAGTGAATATCAACCCGCCGAAAACGA